ACAAACAAATGTAAAAAACATGTAGCCTTCAATATAAAACTCTTCAATTAAATGCACTTCTGTCATCTTTTTTCAAAATCTTTTGTATCACCCTTCAAATCTTGCACCATTGTAAATCGAACGTATAATAAAGCCATCTTCAACCCATCACAGATGGAAGCGATAGGATCCGTTGATTGTGTCCGGATAATATTATAATTAAATTAATTCTTGTCTTGTCTCTTTCTTATTCGAAGAGGATGAAAAGGATGCAAGATACTACAGTGACACCTTGCTACTTTAAATTGCTCTTTCTTGAAGGACATTACATTTTTAAATACGAAATCTATACATATTTTAACGATTATCATAAAATTGTGCTCATTTTAAATGCATTATTACATTACTTGTTTTGTGTATTTTTATCTATACTATACTATTCATTATAAACACACACTTCTTTGTTGCCTAAGATGTCAGTAATTACAGCATATTTTTGAATAATTTTTTCTTTAATAAAAATCCATACACTTACGTCACGCTTTAAGCTATATATTTTCACGCCATTAAACTTAGGGGGTATATATTTTGGATAAAAACCCTAATGTGTGACAAATTTACATTATACCCTACATGTTCAGTCTGAAAATCAGGAACCGAAACCTAATGTGGGAAAGAGATCATAAGTTGCTGCCAACATCAAGGAAGCAAGGTTGCCACAGTTCGTCATATGTCATGTCATTTTGACATTTGCAATTGTTAATTTGAAAAATGTAAACAATAAAATAAAATTTTAATAATTTTATGCGGATTAAGTCGCACGGAAACAGCTAATATTAATATAACTCTTGGTTTAAAACAATTATTCCCTAACAGTTCAGTTCTTAAGTTCAGATTAATAAAAAAAATCTACAATATTACCTACACATTGCATACTGATTTAATAAAAGCTTATAAAATTAATTATCTACCGGTTTAAATTATTTACTGCATAAAAAAGTCGGTAACCAATGAAGAGAACACCCCTATAGATATCCAATTAAATAAAGAACCCTATTCACTATCAATTAGTCAGCGAATTCGTTCAAAAACTCACTTTATACGTGTAAAAGCTCAGTGTGTACGCTACATAATGGCGGCGGTGGCTTTTTGCCGCCGTTTTTTTCTTTTTTTTCATAATAGGGGTAATATAAGGCGTCGGGACTGACACCTTTGCGGACCCCACAGGAGGTTGTATAGGAATAATTTGTGGGGCAATAAAATGTAATAATTCTCAGCGTGAATTGAAACGTTATTTCATAATGAAGTTAAATTTCAAAGAGATGAGAATATTTTTGGTTAATTTACAGGTGTTGCTATACGATGACCTAGGGTAGCTAGATACTCGAAGTAGTTATTATATTTTTTTTAAGTAACATTTAATAATCAATCAGTTAGTCCTGATTTCGATGCGGACTGTTGTCGAGTGTGACAGTTTTTTTTCTTCTTTTAAACCATGCAGAAAAATAAAGTTAAGAATTACATATTTTCTTACTAAACATTTTAATATTAAAATAATGTACAAGAAAATTGCTTTTGCCTGTATTTAAAAAGATTTCTATCGTTGCACTCTACATAGTAATTTCCATCAATGATTCATTTCTTTGTAAAATATTTAATATCGTTTACATTGTATGTGACACAGACTATATAAATTACACGTACGATCATTACACAGATAATATCAGAATTAACTGAACTTAATGTCATATTCAACTAGAAATGATTGTGACAGATTAACCTTGGCTTGTGTACCGTGATATTGGTAAAGTTATGTTATACCACAATGATGTTCAAAGCATAATTATTTCTAAGCTATTTTTTAAAAAAAAGTATTTTAGATTGTAAGTCATATTCTTGTAATATTTTATTAACTAGCTTTCACACGAGACTGCGACCGCGTGCAATTAAAAAATCAAAACTGAGTAACCTTTATGTTCTTCAAGACTATCCTCTACGTCTATACCAAATTTCATTGTTATCCGTTCAGCCATTTAGGCAAACATCCATCCATCCATCTAAACTTTCGCATTTATAATATTAGTATGATAATAAATATTATAAATATATTATAAACTTAAACAATGCATATATCAAAAGCAATTAACAATATTACATGTCATCTAGTTGTAATTAAAAACTCGGCATCAATTTATTTGCCGGTGGAAATGACGTTTTCATTTTCTCGTAATTATATCGCGATATAAATGTCCATACAAAACACCGCTCATTTATCTAATGTACGTATAATAATGATAGAGATATTCCACAACAATAATATCTAATGCCCCGCGGTGTACAGGGGGATGTTGGATAAAAAATATATTATTTCCGTTCAGAAATACAAGAAATGACTTCCTCAATCAACCGGTCTTGTGCCGTGCTGTCAATGACTAATGTTCTGCTTTTAAATATTTTAATCTATGACATATGCGCCAAAGATTAGGCACCGCCTTTTAACGTAAGTTCGAATTTGGTACGGCCATTGTTAAATGTTGATGTCTTCTTTCTCTATTGTGCCAGCTACAATGGCATTTTTTGCAAACTCCGTTTAAATTAGGTTTACAACGTTTTTCAAAGGTTCTATTAAATTATAGTAACGACTTCTTAATGCTTAAACGATTGATTACATGGCTCATTTGTAATTTTTTGTTTTTAACAGCGATTAAGAAGTTTTTATATTTATGGTCATTGACTAAATTAAAACAATTGAAGAAATCGACGCATGTAGACAACAACAATACCAAAGGAACTATAAATGTGTTGCCGGCCTTTGAGAAGGTGAATGCATTAAAAATAGTTATGTAAGCCAAGTGTTACTAGATCTCTTATAAATGTAACTTTTTTCATCGATACAATCGGTAAAAGTAAATTCTCTGTTTATGACTACCGATATACTTGGGTGGTCGAAATTATAGGCCAAGTAATAAAAATTGAATCATAATTTATCACGTATCGTTGTACTTGTAAAAAATCCTATATAATATTATGTAATTTTATCGATACTCATCGATATCAAAATCGATGACACGAGAAAAAAAATGGCGGGCATTTTAATGACAGCGCGCGCAACGCAGATGGCGCTTCACAAAAATCTTTCAATTACGTCCGACGCCGCTCTGTAATCACAACTTAATCACCAATTTCTGTATACGAGCGAGCATTATCTCTTTTAATATGTCTTTGTCTTCGATTACGAATATCGATTATGATACTGATCAACGTCAGCCGTCAGCCATCTTGAAAAATGTCAGATGTTTTCTTTGTTTTGCAAAGTGATTTTACATTTTTTTAATAAGAATTGAATAGCGACTGTCGTCATTCATTTGTCACTTACAATTATCGTATTAATTCACAAAATATACTTGATAAAATAAATACTACACAAACAAATCACTTAAAATAGCAGACTCGACCACTAGGTAATATTGTGGTCTCCGTTTTATCAAAGAGTATGTAAAGAAAGACAATCTACTTACTTCTTACTAGACTAAGATCTTACTAAAATTATAATTGCGAAAGTTTAGATGGATGTTTGTTAGATTTTACAGCCTAAACAGCTGAACAGATCTCGATAAAATGACACATATGTATCTACCATACTCTGGAGAAAACAAAGGCTAATTACTTAGTTTTTTAAAAAATTCCGTGCAGAATAAGTCGCGGGCAAACGCTAAAATGTAATACAAGTCTCACAGTTAAGTTCTACGGTAAGTATTAATTCAAAACCCATACAAATAAATGGATTTATAGAATTTTCTCTACTTATCTATATCTTTATTTATACTAGGTAATACTATAAAGAGGAGAGATTTGTATTTTTGTATGTAATAATATAACAAAAGCTACAGGGCCGATGTCAAAAATTCTTTCATTAAAAAGCTACGTTATCAGTGAGTAACATAGGCTATATTATTTATTATTTTTTAATTTTACGCTGACGAATTTGCGAGCAACAACTAGTTTATTATAATTATATACTATAATGTGTTTAATAAAAAAATACTTAAAAACTCTATTGGCAGTTGATCACAATTTCTTTAATAAGATAGCTTAAGCATAAGCTATCAAAATAAGATCATTTTGTACTAACAAAAACGTTTTATTTGAAAGGAGCGCCAAATCGCTTCATGTCCGCTAATGATACAAACAAAACGTCTTCGAAATTCAAACAAGCGAACATCATTAACTGGCGCCAACGAAGAGTTTTTTTTTTTTTAATAATATTAATACGGTTAGAAACTTGGATTTTAAGCTTTATTAAAAAACAAAAGAAAGTAGTCTGTGTTCTTCCAGACTATGCTCTACATCTATGCCAAATTTCGAGAAGCGTTTAGGCGGCAAACTCTAACAAACATCCATCCATCTAAACTTTCGAATTTATAATATTTTTAAGATATAGATATTATCTGAGCTCAATAATAAAAATCTTATGGTTATATTTTTCTTCTTTTTTACTTTGTGGTTATGTGGATTTGTCAGTGATTTCTATAGTCAAGTTTATAAGAACATAAACCGCAGAATGTTTTTGCAATAACCACAAAAGGATTTCTTATAAGAGCTATTGAAAGTGCTAAATGCTGCTCTTAGGCCTACTTACTTATTACAATGTAATTTAGGTTTACTTTTACTTGTACTATATATTATTTATTATGTGTAAGATACAGATAATTAATCTAGAAATAAATCATACTTATAACTAACTATGTTTTCGTAAATCGAAATGTTAAGCTTGGTTAACCAAACTAAGTTTAGTTTGTATAGCTTCTTCCTTTCTGTTACTAATCTGTTTCTTCATTTGCATTAATATAACTTAATGAAATTTTCAATTTTACAATTTATTTTAAACCAAAAAGGACAATAACAAACATTAGATAACAAGCTGACATGTAGTGTAAAGTGCACTTTGATGTTAAAACTTATCACACAGTGAAGCTTAACTACTTAACAACTTAGAATAACAAAACCAAGTAAGAACTTACCTCCATTATCAGTATTGTTGGCTTCAAATGTTTTGCTGGTCATGTGAA